CCCCAAAACCCCAAAACCCCAAAACCCCAAAACCCCTATTAATCGTTAAAATTGAACAACGATGGAGTATGCCTATGAAGATATAGAGCAGTTTTTCTAGTTTTCCAAACTCAGGGTCAAAATATCTAATGGCTCGACAAAGGTCAATTTGTTAGATCTTTCTGGCACAAATATCTATAATAGGTTTGACTCCTAACATTATATGGAGAATTTAGGCTTATGCTTTGTTTTGGGAGGTAATCCCCCAAATTTTGAAGATAAACTATTCTATTTCTAAACAATTCCAGCTTTGTCAAATCCCTGCTACAAAGGAGGAGAGCTCAGAGTTATAATATAGCAAATTTATGACTTGAGTTAAATGTTATGGGCAATCTATAGACTGCATAGTTTCTTCTAATTGCTTAAGCTTTGCTTGAAGGTCTTCAAAGGATTCCTCACATTTTTGATCTTGGTCTTCTTCAGGCTTAGTTGTACCGAAACTAGCTTGCTTTGGAGGTGAGGATACTATATACTAAATGAGGTCGAGTATTTTTAAACTAGACTTACATAAGTCGCTTCCTATATTATTCACACTGCTAATCTTCTGAGTGGCTTCGAGCAATCTTTTACTATTCTCTATCGCTGAAAACTCTACTCTAGGCTCGAATGACAGCTCAGCCTGAGGCTGAGCTGCTGATTCTGCCTGAGACAAAGAATTATCAAAGGAAAGAAGAATATTAGTGATTAGCGAAGGATTCTCAGCTTTTGGGTAACTATTTTGATCGGTATTTAAAGGTTCCTGGGTAGGAATTTGTTGAATTTGCTCTGTGTCAAGAGAAGACTGACCTGGCTTCATCATATCTTTTAGTTTGGAAACGAGAGTTTGGAACTCATCTAGATCTTTGGTAGCATGGGATGATATATTGATGCCTGTTTTAGATCGAGAGTGGAGTGTCTGAGTCTTGCTAATGGGTTTCTAGAGAGTTTTTTTATGGATATTACCTTTGATTTGAAGTTATGCTTGAGTTTGGATTTTTGTCTTCTCACCGACCCTTTTCTGCTCACTCTGGATCCTTGACTATTCCTAGAAACAGTAGATTCATTTATTGGGTTCTCAGCATTGTAATATGCAAAAGATAATGAATCGTTTGGATTTGAATCTTCATGTAGTTGCCTTTGTGTTCTCCTCGAAATATTGGAAGATCTTCTTTTAATTTGGCTAACAGATCCATTATACTTGCTTTTCATCTCTTCGTTCTCCTTTTGAATCTTCTCTTGTTTATTTAATGTCTTGTTTTTCTTGTTTCTTCGCGATCCATTCTTTATTTCTCTGTATAAAAGATGTGCCTCCAGATGCTCCAGCGTCATGATGAGATCGTGACCTCATATGATTGTTAGTATTTGGGACAAAAGTGTATTCATCTAGCTTTTTTTCTTCTCTTTCTTTCATAATCTTCCTCTTCGCTTCCTTTTGCTTGAGCCAATTCATGCTTCTTTTATAGTAATCTAACAGGTCCTTCTCCTGAGTGTTCTTAGTTGATTCCTTCTGTTTACAGCCTTTACAGTAGAACGATGAATTTCTGCTCTGGTTCTTATCTCTTTCAGTAACTACAGTCTGGTCTCTCGAGTCATCCCAAGGTTTGGGAGCCTTCTTTGGACTCTCGTACTCTGAATCTTCCTTCCATTTCTCAGCTTGGCTAAAAATATACCTAAATCATTACTTTGGGGAGTAGTCGTTGATCTTGGGTTTGAAAGTGCAGTTTTCATCCTTGATGTTCTTCTTCTTGTCTAACTCTTGTTGTCTTTTCTTTTGGAGGTTTTCAGCCCATTCTTTCTGGCGTTCATAAATTCCTTTATAGCCTTTAGGCTGGGGCTTAGCCTCCTTCTGCTTGGCCTTGCTCGAGCTGATGCTGAGTAATATTTTCTTCCTGGGGATTTCGTCCTCAGAGTTAGGTGGTAGGTTGGCTAGAGCTGAGATAAAGGGATTTTAAGCGAATTTGGAAGGAAATTTGTATTTTGGGTGGAATTTTGGAGCGTACCTGTTTGAGGTTTATTTGTGGATATTGAGTTTTTGAGATTTATTTTTGAACTCTATACAATATTAGGGACCTGGAAATTTGGGTTTGGATGTTTTAGAATGTAGTGGAGAGGAGGATGTTGAGAGGATAAATTTCAATAAATAGATGAGTGTATAAAGTTTAGATCATGACATACCTTGCAAGGATATATTTGAGGAGTCTTGGTCATGCTTGAAGCGTTTACTGCCAGTTATAGAAGATTTCAAGCTCTTTGAACCTTCAAAACAAATTCTATTGGATTCTAGTAATTTCTTTCTAATAGCGTTTAAATCTTCCTTTGTATTGCTAGTCACAGTTGTATAAATGGAATGGGACTGGTTGGAATGGGATTGATTGGAATTTATTGAGGAAGATAAATTTTGATTGTATTTTTGTGAGTAATAAGCTGTCTTTTTGATATGGGTGTAAGCCTGATTTATCTCATCAATTTCTTTGTAGATTTTTGAAATATTACTATCAATAACCTTTGATTCAGTTTCAGACCCACTATCGTGGCTAAATTTCTTTCTAAACCATCATTAGATCTCTAACCCCACCCCTTTCGCCTGTACTTACTCTTCATCAGCCAAGGGTCTGCTCCTTGGCTTCTGCTTGGTTTCTTCATATCGTGTACGTACAAAACCTTCACATGCAAAAGTGGGTTCTTCATATTCAAAATCCTGATTTCCCTTATTATTAACTTCTTCTTCCTGATCCACTGACTCTCTTGGACTTCCTCGCTGGCCTCCAAAATATTTCACTGCACATGGCTTAAATGTATTCGTCATTTGTTCTTGTCATAGGAGAGACATGGGCTAAGGCTTTAGGATTGGAGAGGGGTGGGCTGAAGTGGGACTTTGGGTGAGTTTTTGGATGGTTCTGGGCGGTGGTGATGTGGATAGTGGCTTTAGGGATCGAGGGGGATGGGGATTTGGAGGAGGGGCTGGAGAGGGAGTTTAGTTCGTCGTTGTATTGTTGGAAGGAGTCGGAGGTGTTTTCGAGGTTTATTGCATTGGTGCCCCGATCTCATTTTGGTACTCATAATTCTCCATACTTTCTTGAGAATCTGGTTGGTTGACTCTAATCTTATTTCTATATCCTTAGAAGCTTTAGCTTACAAGTTGAAATTAGAGTTTGGGCCTAGTCGATGGGTGTAATCACTTGCTGATTTCTCTGACTCTTTTTCAAAATTTACAATGTCTATTCGATTATTAGCTCATGTTCTTAAATATAAAATCGACGAAGGGATCATGGAGAGAGAATAATTACCTTGAGCTTCTATTCTTCTGCTCTGATTATAATTCATCTCCAAACTTTCTTTTAATTTTTCAAAATTAGTTCGTTGATTCTTACTTTTCCGAAAATCTCAGTTGTATGGCTGACGATAGGAGTCATTACTTCCCTTTCAACTACTCTTCCCAGTGATAAGAAAACTATTATTCCCTTCTTCACTAAAATCCTCCGAACTTAGCTCATTCGGTACTTCCTTACTATCCACGCCCAGTTGCATATTAATCTGTCTCTTCGTATTTCCAAAATACTTGTCTTCTCTATCGTTCCTACAGAGTTAGTCAATGGGGGTAGAACAGAGTGGGTTAATATTTTTTGTACTCGGCAATGAAATGTTATGGAATGTAATAATAGGGTCAACATAGGCGCTTAATGTAACTCACCTTTGTTGGTCTCCTTCAAAACTGTAATATCTGTCAGGTCCTAGGTTCTTGTTCATTTTTAAAAATTTCAGTTAAATTTTAAATTTAAGGGGTTTTGGGGTTTTGGGGTTTTGGGGTTTTGGGG